GTGTGGACAGTCATGAAAGCTGAAAGTTTCCTCAGGAGAGCAGTTTGCTTCTGAGCAGACCAAGTATTCCTAAGACTGGCTTCCCAAGGCCCTGTGACACCCCCTGGGACCTTTCCACATCCTCCCACCCCCCGGCCCCGCAATGCCCACACACATGGTACTGCCACATTTTCTTGGAGGGTAGAGGGGCACCGTTAGCCCACTCTATAAAGTGGAGACTGAGGCCAGGAGAGGCAACTCACTTGTCCATGGAGAGTGAGGCAGAGTTGGGACTTAAGGCCACGAACGTCTAATTCTAAAAACCCAGGATGGGGAGGTTGCTTGCAGTGGCTGTGCAGACCCCACAGGGGTTTCTGAGCCAGACACTTGGTGGCCACTGGGTGGGGAACACATGGGTTCAGGTTTCTCTGCTCCAGCTCTTCTCAGAGCCTTTAATGGCTGCTCTGCATGGGATCCATGCATAAGTGGCTGCCTTTTCTTGGAGAATGCCTCTTTGCACTGGCTGCTAGGAAGCTCAGATACAAATCTGTGGCAAGTGAAACTCAGGTCTGTATTCTAGTGGCTGTCTGCATTTCCATTCTGGGTATCCCTGGAATCCAAACAAGATAGGACATTTTCTTTCTTTTTTTTTTTTTTTAAAGGCTGTTTGGATACAATAAGACGTGATTAAGCCTTCCTCAGAATGATGTTTCATCCATCGGTCCAAGCAGCATCCATTCTGGGCTCTTTCCTGAGGGGAAACTCAGTTATCCATGACTTCAGTTCAGTCGCTCAGTTGTGTCTGACTCTTTACGACCCCATGAACCGCAGCACGCCAGGCCTCCCTGTCCATCACCAACTCCCAGAGTTTACTCAAACTCACATCTATTGAGTTGGTGATGCCACCCAATCATCTCATCCTCTGTCGTCCCCTTCTCCTTCTGTCTTCAATCCTTCCCAGCATCAGGGTCTTTTCCAATTAATCAACTCTGCATGAGGTGGCCAAAGTATTGGAGTTTCAGCTTCAGCATCAGTCCTTCCAATGAATATTCAGGACTGATGTCCTTTAGGATGGACTGGTTGGATCTCCTTGCAGTCCAAGGGACTCTCAAGAGTCTTCTCCAACACCACAGTTCAAAATCATCAATTCTTCAGCGCTCAGCTTTCTTTATAGTCCAACTCTTACATCCATACATGACTACTGGATAAACCATGGCCTTAACTAGACAAGACCTTTGCTGGCAAACTAATGTCTCTGCTTTTTAATATGCTTTCTAGGTTGGTTATAACTTTCCTTCCAAGGAGCAAGCATCTTTTAATTTCATGGCTGCAGTCATCATCTGCAGTGATTTTTGAGCCGAAGAAAATAAAAGTCTCACTGTTTCCCCATCTATTTGCCATGAAGTGATGGGACCAGATGCCATGATCTTAGTTTTCTGAATGGATCTAGAATTTCCTCTGAGCCTTTGTTTTCAGGCCCCCAGCAAAGACCCACTGGTCCTCCGCCTAGAGGTCAGCAGGATCTTGCTTACTGTCTGCATATTACCAAAGAGGATGCTGAGGCTGCAGTCACTGCCATGCCCAAGATCCCACATGTAGGTGGTGGAGCAGGGGCTTGTCTCATCTTGGCTCCAGGCCATGGGGCTGGCACCTCGCGGGCGTTGAGTGCTGTGGCAGAGGAATGGGGCTTGAACCTTCACCTTCAGCTGTATATTGAGTCCTACCTCCTGTCCCACGGTTGCTCTTTACAGGAGAGGAGTGAGGGTCCTAAAGCCCTGGGAGAGAGAAGATTGCTAAGAGGCTGGTGTGGGTCTCTCCTGAAGGCTTTCCCTGGAAGAATAGACCCCTAGAGTGGGTGGAATAAGGCCACCGTGAGGGTACGGCATGCCCACACCCTGGGGTCCCCTGTGTCAGGCTCTTTACTGTTTGGGTGTGAATTGGATGTTGTCTCCACCCGCGCCCCCGCCCCCACTCCCACCCCCCGTTTCCCATGAAAGAGACGGGTTAAGAGCTGGGTCTGGCCCAGCTGGCTGGCTGGCTTCTGCCCGAGTATTCTGCTGAGTGCCAGACCCACCTCCACAGCCCCACCTGAGAATAGACTGACTGCTTCACCCGCATGGCATGCGTGCCTGTGTGCCTCCCTGCCTCAGGGCTTTGGCCCAGGATCTCTCCGCGCGTGGGAGGCTTGCTCCCTTCCCCACCCATGTGTCCTGGCCCCTACACCGTGTCCTGCCCATTGGGCATCTGTCCCCTTCTAGAGCAGAAGCTGGGTGATACTGTGTGTACTGTGTCCCTGCTGGGGTCCTGTGAGTATGAATGAGGATGGGGCACAGCAGGGTGCAGGCGGACGCCTTGGAGCACTCTGGATGGCCGTGCACGCCTGAGCGCAGGGAGTGGCAGCAGGCTGAGGGGAAAGCAAGGCCTCCAGAGAGGCCAGATCTGGTTCCAGTCACGGCTCTCCTTCCCTCTGGCCAGATTCGAGGCCCAAATGCCCCCACCCCCTACCCAACTCCTGCCATGGGAGAAATTGCTCCTCCAATCTGGGCAGAGCCCCTGGCCTCCCCCAACCCCACCAGGCAGCAGGGTTACTGCTTAGGTGGACACTGGACGAGCTGGGTCCAGCCCCTGGCTCAGCCTCTCAAGTTGTATGACTCTGGGCCGCAGAGAAGGGACCAAGGAATGTGTGCTGGGCTCAGCCAGCAGGCAGAGGGGAGCTGGGCCAAGCTTCACCATTGCCTGTGCGGCCAGGGTTGGCCGTGACTGAGGAGGGGAATCCTTTCTTCACCACTGCCGGTTAGGTCAGCAGCTGCTCAGCTGCTGGGGGTGGAGCTGGCACTGAGGGGCCCACATTCAGAGTGAGACCCATGGCTCCGCCAGTTAATCTTGGCACTCATGCTGGGGGCAGGGCCCAGGGCGGAAGTGAAAAGGAGACAAGGCCCATTCCCCTTCTTGGCCTGGTCTACTTCCTCCCGGTGATCCTGTGGGTCCAGAGCCAGGCAGGGCCAACTGCACATGCAGGAGCAGGAAGGAGGCCTCTGTACTAACCCATTCTATAGCCAGGAAATAAGACATGGAGAGGCTGGCTGACTGAGAACACCGCTGGGGGAATGGGGGCCCTGCTTCCCTGGGCTCTGGCGTGTCTAGTGTCCATGTGGGTGCTGGGTGGTAGGGGACATACAAGAGGAACTGGAAGGGTGACAATGCCCTGGCTTTGATCACTTAGGGTGGGATTTACTAGTTGTGTAGCTTCTGAGTGCATTCCCAGTTCTCCTCCCCAGACTGCTGTGTCCAACCACCAGGGCAGGACTGGCAGCTCCAAGACCTGCTGGGTGTGAGCCTGGACCAAGAAGAGCCTCTCTCTTAACAGGCTGCCCAGTCTTGCACTCACCATCCTTATGCCAGAACCCTGGCACCTGTGTCTGAAGCTCAGCTGGGTGTATGGCTTTGGGATGGAATCTGACACCACCTTTTGAAAAACCAGCTCCTGTCCAAGACATACCCTCTGGGCACAGGCTGGATTTGCCAAAGCAGCTGTGCCTAGAACTCACCTTTGCTCCTGCCTCGTTGTTTCTTCCTCCTCACCTGGCGCTTGCTTGATGGTGTATGTGCGCATGCGTAACTAGTTGTGTCCAACTCTTTGCGACCTCATGGACTGTATGTAGCCCACTAGGCTCCTCTGTCCATGGAATTTCTCAGTCGAGAATATTAGAGCGGGTTGCCATTTCCTTCTCCAGGGGACTTTCCCTACCAAGTTCAAACCCGAGGTCTCTTGTGTCTCCTGCACTGGCAAGTGGGTTCTGTACCACCTGGGCCACCAGGGAAGCCCTGGTTTGGTGGGGGTTGTGGTATTTTCAGGTGCACCTCACTGTCTCTCAAAACAGCTGCTGAAGGGAGGAGGGGCACCATTGGGTCTCAGCTGCCCTTTCCCACATCTTATCTTCCTCAGGCCTCTGCTGAAAGCCACCACTGATCATGTCATGACTCTAGGGAAACAATCTTAGCCATTTTATCATAGGAGGAAGTGGAGGGGTGCTCTGCCTTCTGAGAAAAAGTGATGAGCGCTCCTGGGTCCTGGGAACAGACATCTGTAGGGTCAGCCAGGTTCAGTCAAGACCCTTTTGATAACTAAAGAGTAGGGGATCATCTCCCACCCACTGTGAACCCCATGTGTGTTGAATGTCACGGGAGGCTTCTAGGGCTTGCAGTTTTCTGGTCGGCTGGTAACGGGGGCCAGCCGTGCCAGGCTGTGTTCCTTTGGGCACATTGGCAAAAGAGCCCATAGCTAAGCTACTCTGCCAACTCCCACCATGCCACCTCACCCACGCCTCCTTTCCTGAGACTTGGAGGCAGAACAGAGTAGTCAGGTATATGCTTTGAATGGGGGTTCACAACCTGATCTCTGCTTCCTCAGGCAAATTACTATCTCCAAGATTTGAATTTCTTCTTTTTAAGATGTGGTGATAATATCTGCTTCCTGGGCTGTTGTTGGGCTGGGAGAGGTCTGTCCTGGTGGGGAGCCAGTGGAGGGGAGAAGAGGAGCTAAAGGCAAAGTGAAAGGCCTGGGCCCCTGGCATGGTCAGCCAGCACCATAGAGGGAACTTGGGTTGGGATACCCTCACCTTCCATCTCTGGGTTTGCTGTGATGAGGTGATCAGCAGCGATTGTGACTGGCCAGATGAATGGGTTGGGGGGTTTTGCTCCACCAGCGGGAAGAGAAACTGGTGTCAGCCAGCAGATGAGTCAGAGCTGGAATGTCCACAGGTCAAGGTGAAGCAGAGACTGGCCCTCAGGCCCTGCTGGATGCTGGGGGGCTCAGTGTCTGTGTGTGGGTGGGGGAGATAGTGCTGTGGTTACAGGCAGAGGATCCCCTGCAGGTTTCTGTTGGGAAGAATGCTAGAATCTACTCCAGGATCAGGATGTCCACTGAGCAAGCTAGGCCCGGGGAGACTGCAGAGAACAGAGGCCTGGGTGGGTGAAGGGCTATCAGGGACAGGCCCTGAATGTCTGCATTGGTTGCCTAGAGTTCAAAGTCCAAGCTACAAGCAGCCTGCTCCAGTATCCAGGAGATCCGGCGATGCACACGTCTTGAGATGCCTGACAACCTGTACACCTTTGTGCTAAAGGTGAGTGGCAGCTTTCCACACATGGGGGGAACAGACACAGACCTCAGGAACTGCACACAGCTGTCCCTTCCTTCCTGTCAGGTGAAGGACCGGACAGACATCATCTTTGATGTGGGAGATGAACAGCAGCTGAATTCGTGGATGGCCGAGCTCCGGGCATGCACAGGCCAAGGGTGAGAACCAAGGGCTCCATCTTGACAGTTTTTCCTGTTACTCTTGAGCTACTGAGTCCTGAACCCCCATCTTCTCCCGCAGACTCGAGACCACAGACCCAGAGCCGCACTTTCCCTCAGCCACAGAACCCGGCATGGCTGACTCTCCAAGGGGAAGCACAGATTCTTTGAACCAAGGTGAGGGGTCAGGGCCTCTGTCCTCCAGTACATCAGGACCCAGCTCAGGGCCTAAGGCGCCCACCATTACCCATCTCCTTCTCTACCAGCTGCTTCTCCTGGGGCGCTGCTGGATCCAGCCTGCCAGAAAACAGATCACTTCCTGTCCTGCTACCCCTGGTTCCATGGTCCCATCTCCCGGGTGAAGGCGGCTCAGCTGGTCCAGCTGCAAGGTCCTGATGCTCACGGAGTGTTCCTGGTGCGGCAGAGCGAGACGCGGCGTGGGGAGTATGTGCTCACGTTCAACTTCCAGGGCATAGCCAAGGTATGGGGCAAGGCGGGTGGGGCTGCACCCTGGCCAAGTTAAAGGCCCCAAGGGGCCAGGGCCTGAGCCTACCTTTCTCCCTCTCCTGTAGCACCTGCGCCTGTCGCTGACCGAGCGGGGCCAGTGCCGAGTGCAGCACCTCCGCTTCCCCTCAGTCGTGGACATGCTCCACCACTTCCAGCGCTCGCCTATCCCCCTCGAGTGCGGGGCTGCCTGTGACGTCCGGCTGTCCAGCTACGTGGTTGTCGTCTCCCAGCCACCAGGTGTGACCCTGATGCCCCTTGATAAAGGGGGTGGGGACCGAGACCTCCTGTTGTGTCCTTCCAGCACCTGCCTCCACCCTGATAAGACTGACAGTGTGGTCTCTCTCTCGGTCACTTGTCCCCCAGGTTCCTCCAACACTGTTCTGTTCCCTTTCTCCCTCTCTCGCTGGGATTCAGAGCTGGGCCTTCCCCACCTTAGCGCTTCTGGCTGTCCACGGGGTCTTGGCCCAGAGGGTCTCCCAGGCCGATCCTCTCCCCCAGAGCAGATCTTCCACCTGGTGCCTTCGCCTGAGGAACTGGCCAACAGCCTGCGGCACCTGGAGCCCGAGCCCGCCAGTCGAGCCCGGGACTCAGACTATGAAATGGACTCCTCCTCCCGGAGCCGCCTACGGGCCATAGACAATCAGTACACGCCTCTCTGATGGGCCTCATGCTGCCCAGAGGAGCACAAGCAAGCAGAGATGTGAACTTGTGAATGTAACTTTCTTTCCTTCCTTCCAGAGAGAGATTCAAGGGACACTTTTAACTGCTCATTCCAGTTTGGATGTGACCCTTCTATTAGGCCTGTTGAAGGGCCTCCTACAAGTTCCATTCTTACCTGGCTTTCTCCTTATTGTTTACAGACGTAGTTCTTGTTCGAGGATGTCCCTAGGACCAGGCCCCATCACTCTTGAGAGGCGGCTGGGGTGGGCGGGCCGGAGTTGGCAGTGGAAACTACTTCTCTTTTTCACTGACACTGTCTGTCCCAGCTGACAGACTTTCTACTTGGGGAGGGGGCCCATATGGAAGCCCAAAACACTAACAAGCCCTGGATTCTGCCGTGGTTTTTCCCACTGTAGCGTCAGTCCAGGTGGCAGGTCTGCTGTACCCAAGCCACAGGTGACCACACCTATCCTGCTTCCACTCTCAGCTTTAGGACAAAGTTCTGGCAGATGGACAAGCTAAAGGTCAAAAATGATTTTAAAACATTTTTACCTCAGATTAATTTTTCAAAGAATTCAGGTTTCAAAATTAAACCATTGCTTATTTCATTGCACTGTTTGAACTAATACCCATGCAATTTTTATAGTCAGAGACAGCTATGCAAACCTACTGACCAGTTCCTGGTTCAAGCCAGTATGCCTGGCTTCCTTGTCTGTTATATTCTCAGGACAGTCACCTGAGGAGATAATGTCCTTCCTAAATGTAGAGAAGTGAAGTGTATCACTCTTTCAAGGAAATTCCAAGCAATTACTGAAAGAGGAGGGTGGCCAGGAACAGTTCCACCCTGGTGCCTTATGAATAAAAAACTGGATTCTGGTTTACAGTAGCTTTATGGTGAGAGTTAAACTGGGGTGAGGGAGGGGCAAGGAAAAAAAGGGCTGCTGGGCCCTTTCTAGTAAATCTTTCACCAACAGGGCTGGCTCAGAGCCTCCAAGCATCTAAAGGCTTATTAAATTATTCCACAAGGTTTTAGGCTCATTCTTGAGCCAAAATGGAAGCTAGGAATCTGGTGCCACAGCTAATGAGAAACTCCTTTAATAGTCCACAATCAGTGTTCTGTTCCAGCAGTGACCACTGCTTCATCTGATGAAGACTATGTGTGCATGGATACACAGGCACCCATAACCTCCACCATCCCCAGAGGTCCTGCAGTCGAATCTCCATCTGTACTTGCCTTTCACAAGTGACACAATTCATAGGGGGCTAGCTCCTCCCACAACTTTCATGCAGAGGCTCAGAAACAAGGGAGGCAGTGACCCAGCAGAGTCCGCTGCTCCTGGTGCCAGCAGAGCCATTCAGTCTAGCCGCCAGCCTCACCCGAGTGGCTTCTAGGAAACTGGGAGTTTCATTAGCACAGCTTAACATTTACAGATATATCAAAGGCTAAAATTAAACCTTGGCCTAGACTAACTACTGCCTGCCTTATCTGGGGTGAGGGGCTTGTCTGTTCCAGCCATTCTCTGTACTCCAGGAGGTCAGACTTTAGGAGGGGCAGGGAGGTAAGCAGCCACCTCGCTTCACTACTTTTAAAACCAACACTCCTGGCAGTCCAGTGGTTAGGACTCTCGACTACCACTGCCAGGCGAATGGGTTCAATCTCTTGTTGGAACTAAGATCCCTCAAAAAATCTACATAAAACTAACACTCCTGGGTGGTTTCACAGATGGTAAAGTATATCCAACCCTCAATCTATGGTTGTGGTCCATTTCTAAGGACCACATTTTCTACACATCAAGCATTACTGAGTAATGAATGCTAAGCAAAGCGCAGACCAGGAGGGTAAACGTAGAGATATGACATCTACAAGCCTGGGGCACTCGCTTCTTAAAAGCCTCTCAACATATAAGTCTCAGGTGGTGCCAAGAGGCTAGCCAGGCCCAGCAAGCTCACAGCTCTGAATGATTGGCTGCAAAGTACAAGCTCAGAATCTCTGATACAGTCACCCACTTCCAGACAGCTTCAGTGTAAAATGTTCAAGAAAAACATTTCTTGACTAAATGTCTCTGAGTTACCTGGACAGTTCAAATACATTCCAACAAAAAGGCCGGCCTTCTGTGGCCTAGGAAGAAGCGACACTAAGCCAATGCCTTTTCTTTCTGCTAGAGCAGGTCGAGCTGGAGGAAAGGGGAGCAGTGGGGCCCAGGGCGTGATGCCCTCACAGGCAGTGAGGCAGCAACCCTGATAGCTGCAGCCAGCCCAATGGAGTCAGAGCGCATTCCACCACCCTCTTTCCAGCCCCAATGTGACCACTGCTGCCGGCAAGAGGCCAGGCTGGCAGCCTCTGCTGAGAGCCAGGCTCTGAGTGGCGAACGGACCCTTGAGTATCGCCAGCCCTCTTTCATCTCTAATGACAGATGACGAGGATGGCCTGGCTGCTCCCAGCACCGTCACTTCCTTCACCTGACTTTAGTGAACTTTACAAACTAACAGTCACCAGCACCAAAGAATTAAGTCAACTAACCTGCCTTGAATTTTAGACCAGCAATCCATATGGCTTTATCTGGTATAAATCTTCTGCCTTTGATCATTTCTGGACCGTGTAGGAAAAAGGAATAGCAATCATTAAAATCTTAAGCCAGAGAACACTATTTTTACATAACAGTTTCTTAACCTAAAATCAAAGCCTTGAACTCTTCCCTAAGGGTTGCCTGAGATTCCTTCATGCTGTTATTCAGGGCTAAGTCTGTTATCACAAGTATCATGTGAGTGTTAACATCTCCCACAAGCTAGAGGAACATGATAGTTTATTATCCACTGCCTCTTAACAAGGACACATCTGACACCCAGTGTTTAGCTGGAATAAATAGCACATTGTAATGACAACACAGAGAATGGATTCATCTTGTATCATTACAGGCAGAAGGTCTATTTGGCAAATTTTTATGTATTGTTTATGTACTGTATAAGTAACTTATTCTTGAATACAGATTTTGCTATAATGTACAAATTGCTACATGTTAATTAAAACAAAGGTTTTGGAATCTTGATTAGCTAACTGCAGTATTTAAAGGTTCTATTATGACTACAATCTCTGAAAAATAGGTATTTTTCCAGTTTATCCTCCTCCCACAAAACCAAGACCCCTAACAAATGCTTAGGGTTTATTTTGTACATTGCTGCATCCTTTCAGCTCTCTGGATTCCTTTATTACAACTGTGAGTGTGTGTCTCCTGCCCCCTACTGGTAAAACAGATGCCTGAATCAGGACAACTTCTGACTTATCTGGGTTCCGGAGATATTAAAAAGGAAGCTTACAGAATCAACGTCAGGCCGAGGATGTGGACCTTCGGTGCTGCCCAACTCTAGCCAGCCTTCCTCCTTCTGAAGCAGACCTCTAGCCACCACAGAGAACATCTCTCAGTCTTGTCTTTTTTTCTAGAGATACCTTGAACCAGAACTAAAGGTGAAGAAGAAAAATCATTTGACAGCTAACCTTCAAGGATATTAAGAAAGCAGTCAGCCCTCCTGCCCTGATACTCAGTATCCTATAATGGAAATAGCTCATACAAACACACATTAACTTGGTATCAGTTTTTAAAACTTTTTTTATTTTTTAATTTTTTTTAAGTTTTTATTTTATATTATCTACAAAGTAAAAGTTTTTCCCTTAACTTAAAAGTTGAACCACTGCAGACAGTGATTACTTCATCAAACTCGATTTATAAATAATAATCCGTCAGTTTGACGGTAAGAATTTACTGAACCTTTGTCAAGTTTAGTAAAGGTGTTCCAAGTCTTGATTTTTTTTTTTCTTTTTTTTAGCGGTAATAGCAGCAAGAATCACTCTTGTTACTTCTTTTGCTAGCTGATGTGTTCAGGACTTTCAAGGGTCATTAAAAAATAAATAACTTCCAGTTTCAGCAAGCAGAGCTGGGGTACTTGCGGGACTCGGAAACAGCATATGGAATTATGGAACAGCCCACAAGTTCCTAAATGCCTCTACTCGGTCCAAATATCTTCCACTGCAAGTGAACTGTTAGCATTCCTATTGGATGTTACAAGAAATCAACATATATTTTTTCAAAACAAAATAATGAAATTCTAGTTTTCTGTGCTTCCAGTTGGTAGAAGCAGTAGAAGGGAGGAGGGAATTTGGCCTTTCGGTTCCTCCAGGGCAGCCTTACAACTGCTGTTGGTGGTGGGCTTGTACTGTAAAAAAGAAAAGTGAATATTTAAACAGAAAACTGGCAACACTTGCACATTAGCCTAGTGTTTCTGCAGCACATGACTGTAAGCTATCCTTGTGCTAGCTGAACAAGACTCAAAATTTAATTCACTCTGTACCCTTCCCACCCCCAGCATCTGTACCAAAATGGGGAGAGGTAGGTGGGTGGGTAGAAACAGACCAGTCAGACATAAAACCATTTCAGATAAAACTCCCAGAAGAGTTGTTGTTCATGGGGTACGAAAAAGGCCTTAGCATATCCCCTCCCCAAATAACAGCCAAGCACCAGTGCTGCTTTCAGAACAACAGGTTAGACTGTGAAATCTCGCCATGGCCGCCATCAAGTACTAGCGCACAATCACGGGCATTCTCTCCCTGCCAGGGCATAGACTGGAGCTAATTCTATAGTCAAAACCAATCCATACACAGCACTTTCTCATCAGTAGTAGTCTCCAGAGGTACAATCAAGCTCTGCCATGGTGGTAACCCCCCACGTCAGACTGTAGGGACTCAGGAAGGAAAACACTGCCCTGTCCAGCCTAGCGTAACAAGGAAGGCCAACTGAGTCCTAAGCATGCATCAGCTACACAGAATGCTGCTGCTGCTTCTCATCAAGCCAGATCCTGTATACCATCAGAACACACACAGCCTAGGCTCCCGGGAGCCTCAGGCCCTGACACTGAGCTGATCGTCACAGTCCCTACTGTGCACACTCTGACGGGTCTTGCTAGTTCTCAGATGCGGGGCTTCAAGCGCTGGCCCTGCCTGCCATTCGACCTGTGCGAGCAGAATGCTTTGGGGTGCCCGGCGGCCCCTGCACACACACGCCTCACCTGAAGGGTGCGTCATATAAGGGAAATGCGCTGTTGTCGAGACTGGAATGGGCTGTAGTGCACTTTGAGCGAGGGCGGCCTGGGGACCGCCGGGTGGCTGTGTCGTCATTAGCATCATTGGCGCATGGGCAGTTGGATGAGAAGGAACCATTCCTGACTGTACATGAGCCTGAAACAGAGAGCTCTTTTACGCATACAGGCAACATCTCCAGCTTAAACAACATGTCAACTGTGTTCCTTTCACTGGGTTGGGGCTCTCAGGAAAGGGCAACAGTGGGCCCTCAGGGCCCTTTCTTTCCTCTGGGGACATTCCCTAGTGGATTCATTAGTTGACCTATAGACACGCTTCACCTTTTGGCAGATTCTGCAAGGCTGAGGGGGCAGGCACCCAACGAGCCTTGGTAAAAGTCAGGGCTGCCGTGTCCTAGGCTTCAACATTTCTGATGACTGGATTCTATGTAGGGGGAGGGGCAAGGTCTTCACAAAGTTAAGAAGATCCCTGATCCAAGTGCAGCTTTCTCAAACTAATAGGAGG